TTTGCTTTTTTGTGATAGTTTTTTGGGGGGTTCTGTTTTGTTTTATTGCTCTTTTTGTGTGTGGGAGTTGTTGTTTTTTAGGGGTGTTGTTGTTGTTGTTGTTGTTGTTGTTGTTGTTGTTGTTGTTGTTGTTGTTGTTGTTGTTGTTGTTGTTGTTTCTTTTCTATTTTTTTGTTAGATGCAACCTTCCTCTAACAACCCCCCCCCCCCCTCCCCCCCGAAAAACAAACAACAAAACAGAAGAATGGCTCTATGATTGCGGACTTTTTAAAAAAATCAGGTTGTCATCTGTGCCTTGCATGTGTTACCTGTCATGTTTTGGCCCGTGTATGTCATTTTACAGCCGATTATTAATAATTATTGTCATGTTCATTTTGCGATGGTTACACCAGTGATCAGTGCAGTCTGTGGTGATGTTACAATGCACCCCGTGTCTGGCTAGTCCGGGCGGGTCCAGCCAGCGTGAGGCGTTGGTCATCGACCGTGTGGACTTTGGGGAAGAGGCAAAAGTAAAGAGCAGCCCCTTTCTCTTGACGCTCTGATCTGTGTGCCGCTTGCTGCTCTGTCTGTCCTGTGGCTTAATTGATGGATGGTTGGCGGGTTCTCTGGTGAGGCTTGCTCCTTCTCTCCTGTCACAAATCAATCATCCTTATATATCTCTTTTTTTTCTTTCTTTTTTTTTGTTAAACGTTACTCTCAAGTAATAACTCTAATCTTCAGCCTTTATTTATGATCTATTTATGTTGCAAGTGGCGTAAAACTCTTACAAAACTAAAAATAGTTATCGTAATTGAGGGGAGGGAGGAAGGGACTGTTCTTTACTTTTGCCTCCAACTTGCTGAATGAGATGTAACATTGTATTCCTCTGACCCAGCCGACGTCTTGAGTCGGTCGATCCGTCGGGCCGGGCGGAGGAGATGTACCAAAACCCAAGCTCTGTGCTTCTATAACTCTACCTGGGGGAGCCTGCCCACTCCCCACCCTTTGTGCGTCCAGTATACGTTTTCAGTGTGCTGTGCAAATACCATGTGATTATAGTGGCGAAAGTCGCCCCCTGTCTACAGAAAGCCCTGCCTCTGCCCCCACTCGCTGCAGCCACGGACCTCGATCAAGTAATGACTGCTGTTATGATAGATAGCATTTGTATAGCACATTACATCCCTGCTTTCCAGCAAGCTTTATGCGATTTACAATCTATACTACTTCCCCATAAGACCCAAAAACACTCAAAAATATTCTTGGCTTCCCGCGAAGCGCGCTGTACAAGGAGTGAATTATGCACTTAACAAACACTAACAGACTGACAAGATGTTTGGCTGTAAAAAAATCCGTGTCACCTCAAGTAGATGAGAACTTTGGACTATTTTTCCAAGTCCCCCCCTGGGGCTTCTCTGCTGGTGGGAATGTTTTGTGACCAAAAGAAAAGTAAACAAGATTTTTAAGCTTACCGGGGGTTTCAGTAGATCTGGCGAACTTGCTGGAAAGTTTGCTTTGCACGAGGGTGGATACTATCTTTGTCAGTTTTATCCACCCTTCCAGTTGACTTTCCAAACAGGAAGTAGCCAAAGATTGATTTACCTGTGCTATGTTTTAAATCCAGACATTGGTCGAGTTTTGTTGTTGTTTTGTTTGGGTCTTTATTTGGGGAGATGGGTTGAGTGGCTGGAAATGTTTTTGAGAAAGATACCAAACAAAAAGAAACAAACTCAAAAAATAACCCAGTATAATAGTGTGGCATTGTGTGTGGCCAATTCCAGAACCCAGTCTTGGATAATGTTGAAAGCAGATCCCCTCCCCCCCCACCTATGTCCCGGTGAGAGGCTGTGTAGCTGTGATGTAGAGTGAGGCAGTGGCAGGGCTGTACATGTTTTATCCCGCTGTAGGGATGAAGAAATTATGTACCTCAACATGAGGCCTGATATCTAATCGAATCTATGTATCTATCTCTATTTGTGTCACTACGCACTGGAATCAGGCACTCATCACTTTTTGGCATCATTTTAATGACAAATAGTTTCTTTGCCTTACTTCTGATGGAAAAAGCACCCATCTGTCTTGAATACGAGTCAAGCCTCAAGGTATTTGTGATTGAAGGAGCTGGGTGCCGCCTGGTATCGGAGGTTCAATTAGGGAAAAAATATGTTTTTAATTTCCAAGTTTTAGTGTCCTTGGAACCTGCCAATCTACATTTTTTTCTGTTGTGTTTAATAAACATTTTTCAGTAAAATCTGCCCAGACAAGTGGGGGTTTTTAATGGACATAATAGGCACTGAGAGAGAAAGAAAAAACATCCAAAAAAAGAAAAGGATAAAATTTGCACAAAATTGGCGGAAAACTGCCAGTTTCTCTGATGTCACTATAACTGACGAGCGCCTGATTCCACCAGGATGCCACACATTTGTGTGTGTACATCATTGAAGTTATTTCTAACCTTTTTTGACCGTTCCCCCTCCTCTCTCCCCAGACCTCTGTCCCCTAGACATAGACACGTTTTTTTTCCAACATAAAAGTTGTCGAAGTTGTTGATTTTGTTACATATTGAAGCAATGTTTGTTTAGTCTTGTGGCCAGGTCCATCTGATCTGACCTTTTTTAGATTCTATGTTTAGTAAATGATATATTTAGCAGTCTTTGTCTTACACTATTCACACTGTTTTTTTAATTATAATCAGATATCACTGTTTGAAAATTTTCTGCACTCAGGTGTGTCATTTTTTGGTTCATGGCTCTTGTTTTATTATCAGCTTTTTGTGGTCTTTGCTTTATTTTGTTGTTGCCCATATTTGTTTGCCTGGATTGTAATTAAGAATCTATTATTGGAATATTACCCTAGTTCTGTTTTGTATACGATGCTTACTTATTTAAATTTTGATGTACATGAATACGCAGGTCAGTAAAAAGCTCTTCCTTCCGTTGTATTCAAAACTTTTATCATTGAACATTTTTAAAGCTTTATGTGTAGTGTAAATGATCACAGGTTTTTTTAATACTTTGTATCTGATAACTTTTTAAAGAGTATCTCTTTCTGTCGTCTTTTCAGACAGTGGTTTGTTTTTGTTTGTTTGGGGATTTTTTCCTATGAAAAGTTGAAGATTTGTGAGTCTAATTGCTGTGAAGTTACAGTGATCCAGGTACTATCAATACCGTGTGATTTGGACGCTTTGTTCTTGTATTTCATGTTGCAGAACTTTGTACTGTGAGTACCGGTATGCTTTGTACTGTGAGTACCGGTATGCTTTGTACTGTGAGTACCGGTATGCTTTGCTTTAGTAAAAAGGAGCAAGTTTGGATCTTTTGTGGTCTTTTTTTTTGGTGGTAATCTTTTGGTTTGTAGAATTGTTTGTGATAGACAGCTGAGAGCCATTGTCGGATCCGTCTCCATGATGCTGTCTGCACAGCTGCCTGCCCGTACGTAAACAAAGTATTTAACACGGTTTTGAGGGTATGAGTACTCTGAGTATGGACGTCCCGTTTTTGTGTCGGAATTGATACGTAATATTCCCCGTAGTCCTTTCTTGAGACACTAACTAGAGTTCTGTTCTGTGCCGCGTAATCTGAGCTGTCTACAGCAGACCTACCAAGTACTGGGAAAACCTTGCCGCCTTCCAATCTTTTTTGCCTTCTGTTGAAGACCCTGATCTGATTTGCATATTTGCATAAGTCCCAATTTTTTCATTAAAAAAGATTCTTGTTCCATCAGTCATATCAACTTATCGCGAATGACATGGAAGCACACTGGTTTATTTGCAATAATATTTGCGTGACTAATCATAAATAACTTGGAAATATTCTAGTTTATTTGCATTATTTGCGCGACTAATCGTAAATGATGTGGGAATGGGCTTGTTTATTTGTAATTTTGTAAATGACACCGGATCCTTTCTCCCACACCCCATTTCGGATTTTTCCAGAGGGTTCTGAGGAGGACTGGGATGTCTCGTGAATGAAGTAG